CACACACACACAGCCCTACACACACACAGCCCTGCACACACACAGCCCTACACACACACACAGCCCTGCACACACACAGCCCTACACACACACAGCCCTGCACACAGCCCTACACACAGCCCTGCACACACACAGCCCTACACACACACAGCCCTGCACACACACAGCCCTACACACAGCCCTACACACACACAGCCCTACACACACACAGCCCTGCACACTTCCCTGGCACACTGATGAGGAAGAAGTTAGAACTACAAATCAGCTGCGAAATTAAGATTGTTCAAAATATTAATTCTGAAAAAAACTGGATAAATCAGGAACTGGTATGCAGACATCTTAGTAGTTTAAGAAAAAGAATGGCTTGGGGGATTCTTTTTACTAGGAATGATGGATAGAACAGCAGCCAATTACCAGTGTCTTGGTTTTTGCTTGGGTTTTGCTCCCTTTACCTCTCTGCTGGCAGTGGCAGCACACGGGGAAGCAGAATTCGGTGCCAAGTGAATGGATGATAAAAGGGGATTTTTCCTCCACTTGCCCTCTCCCACTTTGTCACAGTGTCTAGAGAATCCAAGTGGAAGGACTGCTTGATTGTAGCCACTTGTGAAAGGTGACAGAGGGGGTTCCATGCACACATCTTCCCAAGGCAAGGCCCTGGGATTGGTCTGTGCCTGGCTCAGAGGAACCAGCATCACGGGCAGTTGGGCTGCATGTGAGAGGACACAGGGATGCATGAACATGCTTCAAGTGACTGCAGCTAACTCAGGGTTTCAGAGACAATAAAATCACCTCCATCCAGCACTGGTCTTTGTGTCAGCGAATGGATTCCAAAAACTAATCCCCTTCAGTATCCCAGGGCAGGCTTTTAATACCTGCAAGTCTCCTCTCCCCTGATGTCAGCACCTGGGGCTGTAAGGCTGGAGGTACCAGCCAGCCCTGAGATCAGCACACAGGACCTGGGGCTGTAAGGCTGGAGGTGCCAGCCAGCCCTGAGATCAGCACACAGGACCTGGGGCTGTAAGGCTGGAGGTACCAGCCAGCCCTGAGATCAGCACACAGGACCTGGGGCTGTAAGGCTGGAGGTGCCAGCCAGCCCTGAGATCAGCACACAGGACCTGGGGCTGTAAGGCTGGAGGTGCCAGCCAGCCCTGAGATCAGCACACAGGACCTGGGGCTGCTCTACACTGGGTTCTCCAGGGAGGAGCACACGAGGTGGCTCATCCCACGAGCTGCTCAACGTCCAGCGAGGGAACGAGATCCTACCCCGTTTCCATGGGGCAAAGCAGCTTTGCTCAGATGTGTGAGCCACAGGGTCACAGCTTGACACTGGCCTTCCTGAGAGCTCTGCAACTCACCTCACTCAGAGCAACTTCTCTAATTCAAGCCAGTTGAATCTGTTTTGTTTTGTTGTGTTTTTAAAGTCGTGCTTTTACGGGCAATAGAAAATGTGTGTTTTCATGAAAACATAAAAGCATGTACATGTTTTTTTGAGATCTCCTTCCAGACAAATGAAAATAACCATTATGTCATCTGTCTCCTTTCTTGTCACTGCTACATTTGTTCCTGCTTTCCAGCATGGGCACTGCAAGCACAGCCAACACCAGCCCCAGCAGAACAGCAGCTTCCTCCCACATGGTGGAAACAGTATTTGGCAAAGACAGAAAATTAATTATGTCGTTATTAATTATTTATATAATCTTAGCACCTTAATTACTTTCAGTTAGGAAGCAGATGGGGGCTAAGGAGATGTTATTAACACTGCTATTATTATCCGACATCACTCCCCTTCAGTTTTTCTTGTTGGTTCCTGATACAAAA